ATTTTGTGAGTTTACACTTTGTGTTTTTACAGTTTATTTAGTGTTTTAACACTTTTTGTGTTTTTACATTTTATTTTGTGTTTTTTTGTTTGTTTTTACACTTTTTTTGTGTGTTTACAGTTGTTTTTTTGTTAGAAAGAGTTTTCCATCATATTCATTAATTACAGCTTTAGCCTTTCGAGGTCGTAGATAAAGATGGAGGCAAAAAAGTCCAAATGAACTTCGTCCATGTTGGCTTTCTTTTACAGAACACTGTTAAAAATAAAGGGGGGGGGGGGCACCACATCAAACCACAGGATCACATAATTCACAAGTACAATCAGATCTAACTGGTTTTACATACTCGGTCCATTTGGTCCAGATCTGGTAACATTTTTATTTTTTGACTTGGACAGAAAACATTTCTTTTCCAAAACATTTACAGTTTATTTTAAGTGATTTTAACATTTAATTGACTTATTTTACAGTTTAACTGCTTTTACAGTTTGTTCAGTGTTTATATTGTTTCAGCTTTTACACTTTAAATTTTAAATAAAGTTTTGTTCACTGTTTTTAGTTTAATGTAGTTTGACCTTGTTTTACGGCACCTTGATTTATTGTTTTATACACTACTTAGTTTTAGTTACATTTTACTGCAGTTTATTGCAGTCTCCATTCATTCATTCATTCATCTGTGTTCTTGGATTAAATCAAGTCTCTCTTGGAAATGAGTCCTCGTGACTCAGAGAATAACCTGTAGAAGTAAAGCTTAAATGAATGAATGAAAGAATGAAAGCAGTTTAACTCGGTTTTTCCAGGTTTCGTGTTTTTTTATTCGAGCTGAATTCTTCTTTAGTCGACCTTTTTCAGTGTTAAAGAACTCGAGGTCACATATTGGTCATATTTGTTAGTCACAAAGTTTCAAAGGTCCCGGGAGGCGGAGGCTCCACAGCTCCTCCTGTTGACCTCTGACCTGTGCTGCAGGGCGAAGCCTCGACGGCGTCCGCACCGAAGAGTGTCTCTTCTACAACGTCGACTCTGAGATGGAGAGGACCAACCGGAGCGGCGTGGAGCTCTGCCAGGTTGAGGCGGACAAACGTTCTCACTGCTTCGCTTCATGGAGGAACGACTCGAGCTCCGTCGAGCTGTTGAAGAAAGGCTGCTGGTTGGATGACTTCAACTGCTATGACAGGTCAGGCCCCACCCACAGTTTGTCCTCGCAAAGGTACTCTCTGATGCGCTTCTTCTCTGTCCCCTTCAGGCAGGACTGCGTGGCAACGGAGCAAAGTCCTCAGGTCTTCTTCTGCTGCTGCGAAGGAAACTTCTGCAACGAGAAGTTCACACACTTGCCCAACGTCAGCCTCCCAGGTGAGTCACAGGACCCCTGGTCCAGATGAGTCACTGGAACTCTGGTTCAGGTGAGTCACAGGAACTCTGGTCCAGATGAGTCACAGGACCCCTGGTCCAGATGAGTCACAAGATCTCTGGTCCAGGTGAGTCACAGGACCCCTGGTCCAGGTGAGTCACAGGACCCCTGATCCAGGTGAGTCACAGGACCCCTGGTCCAGATGAGTCACAGGGCCCCTGGTCCAGATTAGTCACAGGATCTCTGGTCCAGATGAGTCACAGGAACTCTGGTCCAGGTGAGTCACAGGACAACTGGTCCAGGTGAGTCACAGGATCTCTGGACCAGGTGAGTCACAAGACCTCAGGTCCAGAAGAGTCACAGGACCTCTGGTCCAGGTGAGTCACAGGACCCCTGGTCCAGGTGAGTCCAGTCTCTGACTTTACTGGACCTCCAGTCCAGGTGAGTCACAGTATCTCTGGTCCAGTTGAGTCACAGGAACCCTGGTCCAAGTGTTTCACAGGGCCTTTTGTCCAGGTGAGTCACAGGACCCCTGGTCCAGTTGAGTCAAAGGACCCCTGGTCGAAGTCAGACACAAGACCTTTGGGTCAAGTCAGACACAAGACCTTTGGTCCAAGTGAGTCACTGGACCTCTGGTCCACGTGAGTCACAGGACCCCTGGTCCAGGTGAGTAACAGGACCCTCTGATCTAGGTGAGTCACAGTACCCCTGGTCCAAGTGAGTCACAACAGCAC